GTTGGGCTGAAACAGTTCGAAATACTCTTAACGTAACGTGATATTGTTTGCTTTGAACTAACCTCAAGACATTTTTTTCTTCTTCTGAAAAGGCCTCACATCATTAATAGTACCATCACACCCTTTATGTAGCTTCTTTTTTTCTTTTCATCTATGTGAGATTTTATTCGCACATCAAACAATTAGTTCCGGTTGGACTTTTGCCTTATTTTATGCAATGTTGTGGCCAGCAGTCTGACACTCTCTATTTGTCAAACTTTGCTTTGCTATTAACGCGTGAGATCTAAGTGTAGATATTGATACACTAATGCGTTGCATGAATGCAAGACAGAAAATAAAAAATGGGACCCTTTTGTTTGATCAAATGCAATCTGTTTCCAGGAACTGCTTTTACAAATTTATTTATTTAGTATTTTTTTAGATACAGAATCCCTTTAAGAACTAATGTGGAAGTTCACAATTTTTTTATTTTATTTAGATACAGAATCCGTTTAAGAACTAATGTGGAAGTCAAATATCCAAAGAGAAGTATTGAAAACATTCTGAATTTGGCGCAAATTATTAGTTTTGTCCTCAAACGATTGACAGTTTCAAAAACACTCTTTACTTTGATCGACTAAATTTAGATATATCCTCGATCTGTCGTATGATATAGCAATTGGTTTTAAGCTCTAGTAGGAGCATGAGATCCTTAATAAAATGCCGAGAGAAGTGATGAAAACACCCCAAAACTTGATGAGAATTTAGGGGGTGTATTTCATTCATATTGCAAGATCAGGGTGTATTCAAGTTCAGTTAGTCAAGTAAAAGGGTGTTTTTAAGGTTGTTAATAGTTCAGGGATGAACTACATGTCAAGTTTAGAGGTGTTCAAATATTTCTCACACCATGATTTACTAACTGAGAGTCTAAGACGTACGACCTTTTTATTTTTATTTTTCTTGAAGCTAGTAACACAAAATTATGTCACTTGATGTTATTATATTTAAGTGAAATTTACACAGTTTTAGTTGTTGAAATATCGACAATTCAAAGAACTACACGTCTCAATCTCACACTAGATGAGATCAAAGTACATGAAATCATTTTTTACATTTTTTACAAAAAGCTGTCTAAGCAATATAATTACATTACTTGGTTGTTTTAGGATGACTTATATTAGGTAGGTGTGTACACATTTTATTTAACTCTGGATATCTCTTTGAACTTTTCTTTCCTTGAAAGTGAAATGTGATAGGTATTGATGAATGATGTCCCATTTTGTATATGTATCGTTTTCATGAAGCTATTTGTTGCAACAAGAAAAAAAGAAGATAAAGTTTCTTCTGTTCAAATGATTGAGAAATACTAAAATAAATGAACTAAAACTAAAGATAGCACAGGAAAAAAAATAAAGTACTAAACAAGTAAACAATATCTTATAATAAGATGGACAAATAAAAATTTGTTTTGATTCACCCAATAAAACGTAACAACATATAATAATAGTAATAATACATGATGGCTGCATTATTTTTCCAAATCACAAAGAAAATTCATTGTCAAGTTTATAGAAAAATTACTATTATAAATACATATTTTGAGGAAAGGCAAATTAATACGTAAAGTTTTTGGCAAATAAATAAGGCGTTATACACCAAAATTGGAATAGGAGGTGATTTGTAAGATAACTTGATTGAACTATATCTAATTTAACTAGAAATGCCATCATATGTAGTACTATTGCTTAATCATTCGAATTTGAATCTGAGTACTAAAACTCTATACTCTAAACCCTAAATCAAAGTAGATCGCGGAGGTAATTGAGTAGGAGTCTGAACTTAACTAGTCGTACTTGAAATATGATCAACTGTATTTGCATACAAGAGAATGGAAGTAGTCTCTTGTGGGCTGAATATCACTAATAAGATACCAGTAAGTATCATAGACCTTAGTTGCTCGAACTCTTTCCTTCAAAAATATACTATTTGCCTAAGGAAGGTTTTCGCACTCAATACTATATGTAATTCCAAAGTCTAGACTTGGTAGAGTGTGGACAATCCAAACGTGTTAAAAAAATCAATTTTATCGAAACGTTTAATTTCAAAGTTCATTCAGCTTTTTAAAGTCATAACGTCTATATCGTTTATAAATTTATGTCAACTAACTTATAAAAGATATTAAAAAAATTATTTGGTTTTTCCAATGTACTTGAAACAAAAAAAAAAGGATTAATTTCAATTATAGACACTGTTGAATATATATTGGTTAAGACTTTAGATCAGCAATATAAACACTTTTAAGGACATTTGAACTAATGTAGTTGAATTGAAAAAATCAAATTTAGGGAAAACAGCTATTGCGTAAGTCAAATAGATTGATTTTATTGGTTAAATTTATGTATCTAAATAAGAAAACTCCTCAAGTAAAGTAAAATTTTTACAACTTCAGCAGCCTGTAGGCTGTTATTACTTTTTTTCCTTTCGTAGAATGAGATAAGGTTTAAAAAATCTCTTAAACTATATACGAATAACAACTTGCGAGTTTTATACACCAAATAAATAAAGAAAATATATGTGAAATGCCAATTTTACAAGTATGTCAGCTTCATAAATAAAGAAAATTCATGAAAAACTATAGAGAATAATTATATATCAAAATGAGTAATGTAACTTTATAGATATAAAAATCTATGTAAAAAATACACTTAATAATGTAATAACATCATCTTAATAAACACAAAAGGTTAAACAATGCAATCTTAACAACTAAATTTAAACTTATATAATTTAGATGTGTAACTGAAAATTTCGCAATAATTCACATTTTCTTATGCCTCCTCCCTTGTGGAATCAATGAATTATGGGTGAAATAGTCAAATAAATTAAAGTTTATTTAATTTCCATATGTAGGAGGTGCTCACGTTTGTTGAACCAGTAAATACGGAGTTATGTCACATTATTTTGTTTATTTTTTGTTGGTTGGAACATGAATGGAAATATTTTATAGATTAATACTTTAATAATTTTTGGGTGCACTGAAAATGTAGCAAAAATTGGTAGTAATGAATTTAATATGTTGCCTTAGTATAAGTGGGCTCCAAGCAAACAACAAAACTTATCTCCATGAGTTAATCATTTAAAAAACATCATGGCACCCCACAAACCTTCTTAACATAACTCACAATAAATCAAAATTTCTACTCCCTCCGTCGTTAATTATTTTTTTGTGTTTTTTTTTACATATCTTAATAAAAAGAAAAAACTACGCGGATAAGTAAATATATACTAGTTAATTAGTTAACATAGTTATAGTTTGAATTAATCACGGCTAACAGCTTAATTTTAGTTGTAATTACGTCGCATCTCTCCTCTTTTATGAATATACAAAATCATGTATATATATACACACACACAATATACAAATACAATTAGTCTCACTTCACTCTCTCGCTCGCCTCTCTCCGTCCTCTCTCAATCTCGCCTGCAATATATACAAATACATATGTATACCAATTGCATATATACAATTATTTGAAGATATAAATATACAGTTCACCTCTTTCCTCTCTCCCAATCTCGCTTGCATCTCTCCTCCCTCTCCCAATCTCGCTCGCCAAATATACAAATATATATGTATACCATTTACACATATACAATTATTTGACAAATATATATATACAATTCGCCTCTCTCCACTCTTTGTCCTCTCTCGCTCGCTTCTCTCCTCCCTCTAACATGTAGCTATAGATCGTAATTAGCAAACTATAGCTATGAAACATAATTATGTTATTTTTGAGTGGCTATATGTGAAAATTCCTAAAATAAAAATACACTATCTGTTTCATATTAATCGATCACTTTTTATTTTACATGGTACTTAAAAATCATAAATAAGAAGATAATTTTATTAATTAGCCCCTTAAAAACTTCTTAAGAATTTTATAAATAAATGTGAACACTTCCAAAAAGAACTAATTGTAAGTGTAATATAGAAAACAAAAATATTTTTTTTTTTTTTGATTTCGTAAGGTGAACAACTAATATGAGACAACTATTTTTAGTATAATAATCAACTAATATGAGACAAAAAGAGTAAAGTATTAATTAGGAGACTTTTTAAATTTTTATTTGTATCTTAAAATGTAATATTCTTCATTAATATTTATTCTACTAAAGTGTTTGTAATTTTAAAAATAATTACTATTAATATTAATTATGCCTTGAAATTTATAAATAATTTAAAATAACGATTTTAAAAAATTACTATAGCTAATTTGAGGCGAAGGGAGTAATAAATATATATTCCCTTTATTTCAATTTGTTTAGTTGGTTTTAGCTTGACATAAAGTTTTCAAAAGGTAAAATATATTTTTTGAATTTTGTAATTTCAATTAAATATCAAAATATCTTTTAATCTTATATTATTGTATAGATTCGATGGAAAGTTCGAAACAAAAAGGTTTTTTTAAAAGTCCTCTTTGGAAGAAATTAGAAATAAAATTAAGACACATAAATTGAAACGGAGAATATAAATAGTTTTTTTTTTGTCCCTCTCTCTCAACTTTGAGGCCACCAAATCTTTTAATTTGAAAAAGCTTTGATTCACTCAAATATAGATTATATACAAAATGGTGTCTTTTCTTTGCATTTGAATCCTCTCTTTTCCATTATCCAACGTTCCTTAGTTGTCTTCTTCATCTTCTTTCTTCCTGTTTTTCTGTTGTTCAGGATTTTGCCTTCCTTTGTAGCATTTGCTGTTTCCATTTTCAATTTTCTCCTTGTCTTTTTGTGGGGGAAGAACTTAAAAAAGATCTGATTTTTCCCCCTTTTCTGTACAAATCAGTTTGTGTTTCAAGAATCTGATGCCCCAGAAATGGGATTTTTCTAAAAAGCTCAAATACCCATTTCTATTAAGGCCCTGAATTTTCTCATTTTGTCTGGAAAGTTGACAATTTGTGTTCTTACATCTATTTTCAGACACCCTTTTGATTAATCTTTGAAACTCTTACAAAAAAAAGAAAATGTTTGGAACCCAAAATAGAAAAGATTTGGCCTTTGAATACCAATCTCAAATTCAGATTTTGAGGCCAAGCATTCATTCCAGAAGGGCAAATATAACTGTGAAATTCCAAGATCTATATGGGTTCACAGTGGAAGGCAATGTTGATGATGTAAATGTGTTGAATGAGGTTAGGGAGAAGGTTAGGGAACAGGGTAAGGTGTGGTGGGCATTAGAAGCTAGCAAAGGTGTAAATTGGTATTTGCAAACACAAGTTACATCAACCCTTAAAACATCCCTTAAACTCTCTACTTTGGTGAATGCAATTACTCTCAAGAAACTAATTAGGAAAGGAATCCCACCTGTGTTGAGGCCTAAGGTGTGGTTTTCACTATCAGGTGCAGCTAAGAAGAAATCAACCGTCCCGGAAAGTTATTACCAAGATATGACCATGGCTGTTTTGGATAAGGTCACACCTGCAACCAAACAGATTGATCATGTGAGTTTTTTGGTCAAAACATTACCTTGATCCCTTGTTTGATATTATGGGGTCGTTTGGTTTGCAGACTAAATTATCCTGGGGTTATAATCCTTGGACTAATTTATCCCACCTCAAGTTTGATCTGATGAAATCGGATTCCAGGATTAAGCCCGGTATCAAATTTATACCGTCAACCCCAAGATAGTATAAATTTTATCCAAATCTTAATCCTGGGACATCCCACCTAATCCTGCGTACCAAACGACCCCTTTAGAGAATAGATTTGGTTTATTTCTCTGAATTTGATATTATGCTATTTGATATTACCTTTTGAGTGATGAAGGGTGTTTTTGTTTTAGCTGTTTGCTGTTATATGTTGAGACTTGACGTGTTGATAACCTTTTGGATGCATTTGAGGGCAGTTTTCGAGTTAATATGTGCTCTAAATGCAAACATTTTCATCTAGTTATAGAGTTGAATTTTAGGTTGTGAAGTATAATTAAGAGTAATTTAGGATGCATTTTTTTGGGTGAATAATATTATTGGATGTTATACGTCTGCAACTTTTCTCTCTTCCAAATATTTCATTAAAATGCCAAGGTTTTATAACTTGTGCAAATACTTGATGTGTTGATAACCGTTTTAGGAGATGACTTGTGCACATACTTAATGTGTTGCTAACTGTTTTAGGAGATGATTTGTATTACAGATTTCAAGGGTTGAGTGCTTTCCTTTGTTGTAGTGTTGAAGGTTGGCTGGCAAATGATCCTTTTATAAGTCGAAGAGCATGTCCCATTTGCTATTTCTCTATAGGGCTAATATACTAGGCTCAAACCTGAATAGACATTTCCTATTGGTTAGGGATTGAATGCAGATTGTTGAAGTTAAAGTGCACACATACTGGAAGCCATACCACCCATTGTATTTAAAGAGTGAATCTCTCTAATGATTCATGGTAGAGTACCAGTTTGCAGATGAAAGAGGGTCTTCATGACGTTTAATATTATGTGAAATAAAGCTGAAAAAAACTCTTCTAGTTATATGAGGAATGTATATGTTGAGATGGAAGACAAGAATCAAGATTATTATATTCAGTAACTTATTAACAAACTTGAAGTGAAATGTATAATTTGAGATTCATTTTATTTAAGAATTTGGTATTGCCAAATTTGTGATCTGTATGTGTTTTTTACTCGCAGGACCTTCCACGAACCTTTCCTGGTCATCCCTGGTTGGACACTTCTGAGGGTCATGCTGCTCTGAGACGAGTTCTCGTTGCCTATTCTTTCCGAGATTCTGATGTTGGCTATTGCCAGGTATATCCTTCTTGTCTTTCACAAAGAGAGATTCTTTTATGATCTGTTCTCTTTCATATACAGGTGTCCATGCTGCCATGCTTTTATAGTTCAGAAATTTAGTTGTCCTTTGTCACATCAACTTATCCATTATTTAGCTAGATTATGCATTTCTCAAGGGATATCAATTGATTCTCTCATGTTATCTTGTAATTGCAAGCTGTAACCTTGTTTAGAGTTGAATAGGAGTAAGAAGGATAATAAACGGAGGCTACTATGGAAGTGAAACTTGAGGATGGGCAACTCGGATAAGGATGAGATTTAAGTTGCGTTATCAATATAGCACAGTTGCGTAGCTCTAAACTAGTCAATCCAATTCCTGCCTCCTGCAAGTTTGCACCTATCCTAGAATAGTTTAAAAGTCAAAGAGCAAATGCTTTTCCCATGTTCATATGACAATGCTGTTTAAATGTGAAGTGATATATAGCACTCCACGAGGAACAAATATTCAAAGACTAATACATTTAGCCTATTAGAACCAGGTGCTCAACCAAATTAATTACACATTTTCTTACATGTCAAAATATGTTAAGGCATAAAAAGGCCTTAAATGTGCCCACTTAGAGACAAAGAGGTAGGAAAGAGTAGAACAAACAGTTTCATTTTTTCTTCAATAGTAGTTGTTACATCACTAATTTAGATGAGCTGATTGTTTTGCAGGGATTGAACTATGTTGCAGCATTATTGTTGCTCGTGCTAAAAACTGAAGAAGATGCTTTCTGGATGCTTGCTGTCCTTTTAGAGAATGTCTTGGTAAATGATTGTTATACTAATAACTTGTCTGGATGCCACGTTGAGCAAAGAGTGTTCAAGGACCTATTAACCAAAAAATGTCCAAGGTACTTGCTCTTTCGCTTTGTGTAATTATTTTTTCACACTGATGTTTTTGATTCACATGGATATCGACTGTTTTCTGAAATTGAGGAGGAAAATGCAGGTTAGCAGCTCATTTGGATTCTCTAGAATTTGATGTTTCTCTTGTTTGCACCGAGTGGTTTCTCTGCCTTTTCTCCAAAAGTTTGCCTTCTGAGGTGAGAATTCTCTCTTGCTTTGAGTTTGAAACTCTAAAATGCTATAAAATAGATCATCCAAACCCATGTGGAAAGTGGAAACCACCTGCTAAGAATCGGTTACTGATTAGTAAGAGACAGTTGGATTAGCTGATTGTAAATTGTAAATAGCTAATAAGTTTTAAGTGCTGAAAAACAGTTTCGAGTGCTAAATTAATTTATAAATAAGCAGTTACATATTTGGAAAGTGCGGAAATCGATAATAAGCTGTTGATGTGTTTGGTAAAGATATTTTGAGACTTCAAAAATATATTAAGGATAAAATAGTAAAGCTCAAACTAAAAGTGCTTATAAGCTGAAAAGCCATAAGTTAGGGGTCACCAACTTATGGCTTTTCACTGATTTTAACTTATAAGCGCTTTGAGTATTTACCAAACGCGTAAATAAGCTAAAAAATGCTTATAAACTAGTTTGACTAGCTCATAAGCTTAGCCAAACACCCTCTAAATTTGTGTGTACTAATTCATTTCAGACAACCTTGCGAGTATGGGATGTCCTCTTCTATGAAGGTGCTAAGGTTCTATTTCATGTAGCATTGGCAGTTTTCAAGGTAAATATTCTTTCTAATTTCTGTTTCATGTATGTGTTTCTACTATTCTTCTCCTGACTCAGTAGAAGTGAATTTCAAATTTTAAGCGAGTTCTGCATTTTTTAAATAACTGTAGATGAACGAAGAGAAGTTGCTGGTAGCACATCACGTCGGGGATGTAATTAGTATCATACAGAGAAGCACTCATCACCTTTTTGATCCTGATGAGTTGTTAACGGTAATATACTTTTACTAGACTCTATTTTTCTCTTATTCTCATGATCCATCTAATTCATTTTACCCGCATGTTGCATAAATGACTTCTTATTCTGGAACTCCTTGTTCTGAGTTAAGATGCTTAATCTTTAGGACAACATACTGCTGTGTTATGAACTCTACAGCGAATCATATCTTTAATATTCGTTCGTTCAGGTTGCATTTGATAAGGTTGGCTCTATGACAACGACTACTATATCAAAACAGAGGAAAAAGCAGGAACCAGCTGTAATGGCAGAGCTCGACCAGAGATCAAGACGGTTAAATTCTGTATTTCCAGATGAAAAACTGTAGTTTTTTACGAGGAAACCTAGTAATTGTAGCTTATGTATAATGCATCCGTGTCAGGGCGTGCTGCCCTTGCTAGGAGATCAACGATTTGCTCACAAAACAATGAGCAAAAACTGCGGCTTGGAGAGAGTATGCTTGTTTATTAAGTTGTAGGTGTTACAGAAGTGTAAATGTAATCTGAAAATATTGCTGTAATTTAGTTATCCTTTATTCTTTTTTCTTCCTCCTGTTATCAAAATCCTGCAAATTCTCATTTTGTTGAGCCAATCTTTTAGTAAAAGGAAAGACCAGGTATGGAAAACCCAATCTTATTAAGTGGCTATAGCTTGTTTGGCCAAGCTTATGCGAAGTCAAAAGTACTTATTTTAGAAAGTTAAAGTACTAAAGTGGTTAAGGTGTTTGGCCACGTTTTTAGAAAAAAAAAGTTCTTTTAAGGAAAAGCAAAAGTTGTTTTTAAAACGCCAAAAGAAAGTAGTTTTTCCTCTAAAGCAATTTTAGAACCTTGGCCTAGCACAAACTGTTGTTCTATATTAGTAAAATTGTTTTTTAAATTGATTAGCCAAACATAAATTATTACTATCCAAAAGCTTTTTAGAAAAGTATTTTTGACAAAGAGCACTTTTTTTTTTTGATGAAGTAATTAGTTCTATTGCAGGCATCAAGTAGATGCATAATAGTTACAAAAGCTTAGTAGCAAAAGGTCAGCTCTCCTTTACATTGTTAATTAAGAGTCAGGGAGCTGACAAAGTTCAGAAATGAATCAGGAGAATCTAGAGGGGATAAATAAACCCAACTATACAAAAACATGAGGCAGTTAGCTTTTAAAGATTGGTAGGTAGTTGATATTCCATCAAAGCATCTTCTATTCCTTTCGTTCCAGATACTCCAAAAAATGGTTGCAGGTATCATCTTCCAAATTCTCTTGATGGTGCTATCAACTTTCCAGCAACTCCAGCTTATCACAACATCCTTGATATTCTGAGGCATGACCCATGTGAGGTCAAAATGAGCTAAAAACATACTCCACAAGTCTGCTGCTATTTGACATTGTAGAAATAGGTGGTTCTGTGTTTCTGCTTCCTTCATGCACATATAACATCTGGTAGCCATCTGAAACTTTCTTCTGGTCAGGTTGTCTTGGGTCAGGCAAACTCCATGAAGTGCAGTCCAGCTGAAGCAACTAATTTTAGGAGGCAATTTGATCTTCCATATAAGCTTCCAAGGCCAGTGGTCTGTAATTGCATTTTGTGGACCTAGAAGCTTGAAAGTTGCTTTAACTAAGAACTTCCCACTCTTTTTTTCTCCCCAGTTGAGTTGGTCTGGTGTTTCACTGTTAAATGCAACACTGTGAAGTGCTGCTAGCAGGCTGACCGATTCCTCCATTTCCTAGTCCTGTATGTTTCTTCTGAGGATGATGTTCCAGGAATTCCCTTTTATGTATTGCTGAATAGTAGAGTTTGGCTCCTTTACTATCTGGAATATGTTAGGATAAGCAACCATTAAAGAGGAGTTGCCTATCTATTTGTCTCTCCAGAAACTGATATGTTGTCCATTCCCTGCAATTAAGTGTTTGTGTTGAGAGAACTCCTCCCATAATTTGCGTATACTTCTCCAGACACCAACTCCATATGGCGATGTTGAAATATTAGAACACCAGTGGTTTAGTGCTCCATGTTTAGCAATAATCACATCCTTCCAAAGGCTTTACTCCTCTTGAGTGTATCCTCACAACCACTTTATAAGTAGGCATTTGTTGTGTAGTGTTGAGTCTCTAATGCCCAGACCGCCTAAATTTTTTGGTAACAAGACTATTGGCCACTTGACCAAATGGAATTTATGGCCTTTGTTATTCCCTTCCCATAGAAAATTCCTTCTGGTTTTGTCCAGTTGCTTCAAAGCCTTACTGGATATGAGATGTAGTGACATACTATATGTTGGGATACTATCAAGTACACTGTTTATCAATGTTAGTCTGCCACCCATAGAGAGGTACTGCATTTGCCATGTAGCAAGCCTTTTTCAAACTTTTCAATCATTTCACTCCAGATGCTTTCCGCCATGTATTTAGCCCTCAATGGAAGGCCTAAGTAAGTGGTTGGGAAAATTCCATTTCTACAACCCAATATGTCTGCCAGCTTCTCAATGTTCTGCACCCCATTAACAGGATATATCACACTCTTGAGTGAGGCATCAATGATTTGTCTCCCTTTGATGAAGGCATTTTGTTGGTTTGAGACTAGTTTCCCCATAACTGTCTTCAATCTATTTGCGAGGACTTTTGTAATGATCTTGTACATGCTTCCAATCAAACTAATAGGTCTGTAATCCCTAAGTTCGCTTGCCCCATATTTCTTAGGAATAAGTGGTATGAATGAAACATTACAAGACTTAACTATCCAACAATGTTGATGGTAGTGTTGCATAACTGCTAATAGATCTATCTTGATAAACTCCCAAGAGCTCTGGAAGAAAGCCATAGTAAAATCAGTATGCCCGGGGGCTTTGTCAGGGGCACTTGATTTAATGGTTGCTAGTACTTCCTCCTCTCCAAAAGCTGCTTCTAAGTTACTGCTTTTCTCCGCTGTGATGGAGACAATTCCTTCAAACATGATTGTAGGCCTCCACTCTTCTTGTTCAATGTACACTCATTCAAAGAACTCTAGTGTCTTCTTTTTAATTGTCTCCTTATCTTTAATGACCACATTGTCTACCAGAAATCTGTCTATGCAATTGGATATTCTATTAGAATTAGCAATCTTCTGAAAGTATTTGGTGTTCCTATCCCCTTCCTTGAGCCAGAGGCACCTAGATTTTTGCCTCCATCTTGGCTAACTGTTGTATCTCAGCTCTCAGGCTTGCCATTTGACTAGCCTCTACAGTGCTCAATTGTTTGCCTTCGGTGTTTTGTTCCAAGATCATCAACTTATCTAGTGATTTTCATTTCTTGGTCTCTAGTTTTCCAAATTCCTACTTGTTCCAAGTGGTTATGTCCTTCTTTAGACTCTTCAATTTTTGCATAAGGAAAAAATTAGGCCTCCCATTGAAATTGTAGCTCTGCCACCAGTATTTTAATTTATCCAGAAAGCCATCAACTTCCAACCATATGTTTTCAAATTTAAAGTAGGAATGAGTGACATCCCAATCCCCACTTTCCAGTAAAATGGATCTGTGGTCTGAAATTACCTTCACAACTTTGAAAGAGTCATTCCATTTCGGGGATATGATGAATCTATCAATTCTAGAATCTTGTTGATTGTTCTCACCTCTAGACCAAGTAAATTGGGCTCCCTGCAATGGTAGGTCAATTATCCCCAGGTCTTGGATTATGTCTAAGAATGTTGCCATGGCTCTTGATCTCCTTTTGCAATTTAACCGTTAACTTTGAAATCTGCATACATTGAAGTCACCCCCTTTGACCCACTCATGTTCCCAAAGTCATCTTATCCCTGCTAGTTCATCCCACATCTCCTCCTTTTCCGGATTAGTGTGTGGACCATAAATGCCCGTGAAGCACCATTTAAACTCTTCAAGTGTACTTTGTAGCATACACGAGATCGAGTAACAACCCAGTTGTGTGTCCATTTTCACCCATTTCCTTTTATCCCAGATCCCTCTAATACCACCTCTTGTGCCGGTTGCTTTAAGTTCCACCCAATCAGCCCATCTATTCCCCCATAATTGTTGTATTAGTCTACTAATGCAACCTTGGATTTTGGTTTCTTGTAAACATAAAATGTCAACCTTCCACTTATGAATGAGGGATTTGATAGTGCTTCTCTTCCTCTCCTCATTCAGCCCCTTAATAATCCAACTAAGGACTTTCAAATTCATCCAGACAGTGAGGTGTACTGCCTGCCCCTGCTTCCACTACTTTGTTGTTCTTTTTTGTCATAATTAATTCCACACATTAATATTTTTCTCTCCCCTTCTCTTTTGTTTTTTTGGACTCCCAGACTCCTGTTGATTTAACTCCAACTTTTGAACTTGTTTTTGTCTTCTTTGCTCCATTCTTAGAACTAAATCTAAGAGATCATGTTCAAAACTTGTAGCATTGACCCCAAAGGTTTTACATGCCTTAACCATTGTGATTTTTGTCCACTTTGATGTCTCGACTATAGTTTGTTTGTCTTTAACCTGTGGATTGGGGTTACCTTCATACCATCAATGGTAAAGCTTATCTTATTGCTATAGAGGGGAAATATGTATCTGAGCTGGAAAAAGCAACCCGTTCCCTTCTTGAGGTGTGTTGTTGCAATGACCTGTGGATTATTTCAAGGGTAATTCTTTCATCATCTGCATCTGATTGCCCCACTCCTGATATTTTCTCTACAGGTTCTGTTTGCATGTGATTATGAAAGTCTGATGGGGCTGATAGAGCACTGAATCTATTAGAAACTGAGTTGGGCTTTTTAACTTGAGAGATGATTTTAAGTTTAAAGAGTTTGACCTCATTTAAAACTTTAGTTTTTCCCCTCTTGCCATTTGGGCCTGTTTTGTAATAAATCTGATCAGCTTCTAGTCCCACTTGTAGTTGATTTGGCACTATCCCACTCCCAGTAACATTATTAGATTCTTTGACTTTTGCCCTTTTGTCCACTGGACAATCCAGGCTGTCCTTTTTTGAAGTAAAGTTGTCCTCTTTTGAATTAAAGCTTCTCCCTTTTGAATTAAAGTTGTCCCTTTGTACTTCATATGATACAGGGTTCGAGGTACCAACTTCTTCCTTTGACTTCCCTTTCTTGAGAAGAGTGGCTTTACCGGCGAGACTAACGACCGTGTGCAGATCCTCTAAGACCGTGAGATCGAAACCCCAATCTTCTTTGAGCAACTCTATGTATTTCGGGATCACCTTCATGTTCTTCTCCACACAGATTCAATCCCATAGCTTGTGTGTTCTGTGTTTCGTGTCTTCATCAACTCCAACATAGCCTCCGCACTTATCTCCGATAAATTTAAAGGTTTCTGAAGACCATGCATGTAGTGGAATTCCAAAAACCTTAATCCATATATGATTTGATTTCTTTGAGGTTAGCTTTGAGCCAGCCACTGGAGACCACCATTCAAGAGTTAGTTTTCGTCCCTTCCAGAACCAGTCACCAGCTTTTACCCTACATGCCTCCAGTATGGATGGAAGCTCAAAAAGAAATTGATTATGGTTAATGGGTGTGACTTTAAGTCCTGCAGTGACTTGCCACCTGCCCACAAAACATTTTTAGATGATATATGCATTTGGACTAGTGTTGAATGTTTCATTAAATTCTCCGACAAGACATCTCGAGAGGAAGTGCTCCCTTTCCATCAACCTTTTGTGACTGGCATGTCCTGCTCCAGAACTGATTATGTATAGCCAAGTAGGGATCCTTGCTGCTTCTATGAAAGATTTGGATGCTCACATGCTAAATGGAATCTTGGATCCACAAAAGGGCCCAGATATTTTTGAATCTTTCCTGCAATATCATCCCATCCCTTGTTGTATCTGTCTTCTGGAATGATGACTGCTGCCCTTTTGTCCCCTAGAAGAGTTTCTATTCTCACAAAGCATCCATAACTGTTGAAATTTTGTATTGCTCTATATGAATAAGCCTGTATTTTCCTTCCCTATCTTCTGCATTTGTTGCCTGACTGCAAAGAGGCCTGCTTTAGGGCTTCACATATCCATCTGAGATTACTTTCATCTATCCTGATGTTGCTCGTGAACCTTCTGCTATATTCAGTTAAAATGAACCAACTGTCCCCACTGCTCGTTAGTCTAAAGAACTTCCCACTCGATGTAAAAGAAATTCCCTGCTCCATAACTTACACAATGGTAGGATTACACAGTGGTAGGTTTACCATCAGAAAAGTGTATGCCGGAAAGAGAGAGAGAGAAGAGCACTTTCTAAAACTAGACAATTTTGGAAACTTGGTCAAGCCTGCTAAAATTACATAACCTTATCCTAATTCTAGTCATTGTTATTAAAGTTCTTTTGTGCATATTTAGAAAGGTAGAAATATGCTTATTGCAAAGTTTGAGATACAATGTTTTTTTGTTCATAACTATACTATAAGGATGTACTCTAAATTTGGGTTATAATCAAGGGATGATTTTAGCCCAAAACTCTGTGTGAATTCATATATTTTGCTACATTTTGAAATCAAAATACTACTATATTTTGAAATATGATAATATCTCGCCTTTTTCCCCCCCTACAACAATGGATGCTAATACTGCAATTTATGGAACTTTCTCTTAATACTCTCATGTTCGCTTTTCCTTGTCCAATTAGAATTTCACACAAAATAAAAACTAAGTCTTGAGAAATGATTTATGAAACTTTCTCTTAATACTCCCTTTGTCATTTATGTCAAGTCTTAGGTCTCGAAAAATAATATAAAAATAAATG